TGATAAAGCTAAAGTTATGGAGCGAAAAGAAAACAATCAAAATTTTTTGTTCAGAGTGAGAGGACAGGTAGGGAGATGGAAGATTGTAAAAATACAGAAAAAACCAATGTTAATAATATAAAATATGTCAAGAATTTAGAAATAAATGATAACAATGATAAAAACTGCAACATAATAAATCGTAATTTAACACTAGGTTTATTGAACATTAGATCATTGATTTCTAAAACTGATACGATCTATGATTTGATTCATGATGGGCTAGATATTTTTGTTTTAGTCAAAACTTGGCATGGATCTTCGAATAACATTTCTGTTAAATCATCAATGCCACCAGGATATAGTTATGTTGATTTTATGAGGATAAATGATCCTCACCATGGGGGTTTAATTATTTACTTCAGTAATGAATTTAAGTTTAAGAAAATAGATTTGCCAATATTTAGTTCATTTGAAGCACTTGCTGTTAAATTATTTATTAGCAACAAAGATTTTGTTCTATTAGCCCTTTACAGGCCAGGATCAGTTTTAGTTAGTAATTTATTTTTTGAAGAATTTTTATGTTTACTAGAAAATATCACTTCTTTTAGTTTAAATATCATACTTTTGGGTGATTTCAACATTCACCTTGAGAAACAGGAAGATCGTCATACTGTAAATTTATTGGAAATATTAGAAATGTTTCAAAAAATTTGATCGACGAACCGACTCATGAACATGGAGGTATACTTGATCTGATTATTTGTTAAGATTTTTCCCTGTGGGACTTTTTCAGACCATAGTTTAATTCAGGTTAATATACCATTAACTCATAAGCGTACTAAAATAGTCAAGAAACAAGTTAGATCCTGGAAATACCTAAATGAAAGCTATCTTATCAAATATGTACAGATTTTTTTAAAAAAAGCAATAATATTAATATTGAGTTTGATATGATGAGTTCTGAACTCAAGAAATTGGCTGATGCAGTTGCTCCACTTCGTTTTGCAGAAGTCAGATGTGATGTTAATGCTCCATGGTATGACAGTGAATTCATAGCTTTCAAAAGACTTTGTCGAAAGAAAGAAAGGAATTACAGAAAATATCAGACAGAGAAATGTAAAAAAGAGTGGATAGCAGCTCTGAAAAATAAATCTAGGTTTTTTTCACAAAAAAGAAACAGTTATTGGAAAAGACTTGTTGCAGACAATAGTGGATCTTATAAAAATCTATGGAATGTTATTAATAAAGTTCTTTGTAATCAGGTCACTGGTCAGTCATTGAGTGAAATTGTTGGTTTAGATTCGTCTCAATTCTTAAAGTTTTTTAATGATAAAGTAAATAAAATTAAACAGCCTACCAATGTGAGAAATTGTCCGACTATTTGTCAAGCTCAGTAATTGTTCTTTTTCTGACTTTATGCTTTTAACAGAATCTGACGTTAAAAAAAATTGTACTCAGTTTGCCATCAAAAACATGTATGATAGATGTCTTTCCGACCCATATTTTAAAGAAATGTATTGATTTATTCATCGTTTTTCTTACCAGCATCTTAAATCTGAGTCTGAGCAGTAGCACATTTCCTAATGGTTGTAAGCATGCTATGGTTTATACAGTTTTAAAGAAAGTGAATATGGATCGAAATGATTTGTCTAGTTATAGACCAATTTCCAACATCTGTTTCATTTCCAAGATATTTGAAAGAGTGGTTGCCAAACAGCTCTTGAATCATTTGAATGTAAACAATCTGCTACCAGTTCACCAATCTGGATATCGCCGCTATCATTCAACAGAAACTGCACTGCTTTATGTGTTTTCTGAGTTGTTTGCTGCTTTAGACAAACAACATGTGGCTCTAGTCGCGTTTTTAGATGTGAGTGCGGCATTTGATTGTGTAGACCATCAGATTCTCATGGAAAAATTGGTTCATGATTATGATATTTCCGGTACTGTTATCAAGTGGTTCAGATCATATCTGTTTGACAGAAAGCAACAAGTAGTTTTCAATAATGTGTTATCTAATGAAACGGTTCAGTGCTTGGGCCTATTCTTTTCATTATGTATACCGCTGAAGTTTTTAAAGTAATTGGTAATTTTGGTTTTAAATATCATGCCTATGCTGATGATATTCAGATTATAGTTAGTAATAAGCCAGAATTATTGCAATCTGAAATCAACAAACTTGTAACATGCCTAAAAAACATTGATAATTGGATGTCAAACAATGGTCTTAGATTAAATCAGCAGAAGTCAAAATTTGTTCCAATAGGTACATGGCAGCAGCTGATGAAATTTAATATCGATTCAATGAAAATAGGAGATGTTAAAATAGAATTTAGTGACAAAGCAACTAATCTGGGTTTCATTCTTGATTCTAGATTATCGATTCATGATCATATAAAGTGATAACAAATTCATGCTCCGGACAGATTCGAGAACTCTATAAACTCCGTAAGTCATTAGTTAAATCTGCTATTCATACCTTGGTGCATGCATTTGTTCATTCACGATTGGACTATTGCAATGGTCTGTTTTACGGTTTGCTAGATAGGTCTATTTCTGCAATTCAATCCATTCAGAATAGAGCAGCCAAATTGATTGTTGGAGGTCTCAAATTTAACCATGTTACTCCTATTCTTTAGGGCCTTCATTGGTTTACTATAAAGAAAAGAATTAAATATAAAATATGTATTTTAATGTATAAAACTGTACATGGCTTGTTGCCAAGTTATTTGATAGATAAAATAAAAGAAAAGTCTATAATGATAAGTGGTATGAACCTTAGATCAGATGATGGCATTTTGTTGGTTGTACCTGATGTCAATCTGCAGATAGCATCAAGAGATTTTGCCTTTTCTGGACCAATGGTTTGGAACAGCTTACCGAGATTTTTTAGAACTAAAGATTTTGTTGTTAAGTGAATAATTATTTGTTTGTTACTACCGCCATTGACTGTACTTTTTTCTTTTTTGACTTTGTTTGGTTATAGATAGCGCTTTTGAGAACTTTTTGATTTTAATTAGCGCTTATAAATTTTTCATTAATAATAATATATATATATATATATATAGAGAGAGAGAAAGTGATAGAGAGAGAGAGAGAGACACATACATAATACATAAGCGCATAATTCAAGAACATGATCAGATGATATAGCTACATAATATATATATATATATATATATATATATATATATATATATATATATATAGAGAGAGAGAGAGAGAGAGAGAGAGAGAGAGACATATATAGATACATAAGCGCATAATTTAAGAACATGATAACTAAAATGCGTCCCCGGCTCCGGCCGGTTTTTGAATTTTAAATCCGGCCGGACCTAAAATTTCTAAATCCGGTGCATTCCTAATATATATATATATATATATATATATATATACATATAAATATATATATATGTATATATATAAACTTCATTAAATATTATTTTTGCCCATTTTGCGTTGATTAGTTTTTTTACCAATAGATTCAACATTTCGTATTTGGGTCAAATCATATTTATTAAACAGTTGTGTCATAGTGCGGCTTACAACGTTGTTTCGGCGTGAGCGCCATCTTCAAAGCCTTAAGTAATATATTTATACATTAGAGTATGTTGAATAATTATTAAATGCATTAATATATGAAATTGAAATAGAATAAATTAATTTGAAATGTAATTAAGAATATGTAAGATAAGAAAATAAATCAGAATAAATAAAATATGATAAGTTAATTAAAATATATAAGATAAAATGACGATAAGTAAACAATATATTACCTGTCCTTTGCTGTTAAAATAGTACATAATTAAAATATTTCATATAAGATATTTAAAATAAATAAATTAATTAATCAAATTGTTTTAGGTAATGTAGAATTACAAAGTAATAAATTGCGGCTACATGTTAAAATAATTGGTAGAAAGTAAATAAAACAAAGTATGTATTACACTAAATGATAGATAAAATTATAACAATGCACGTGTAGTGGAAATGGTATTATAGTAGCTCGATGTGATGTTGTGTACGAAGAATGAGTTTGTATGAAGCGATATAAAGTGTTATATATTGGTATATTGAGAAAATATTGTAAATCTTTGTTCGTCATGCGTTACCAAAATATCCAGAAATGGCAATGAATTTTCACTTTCGTGCTTGATGGTGAAATTCAATTTTAATTGGTTCAGGGTTGCTAGTAGCTGGTTGATTTGTTCCGGATCATCGTATGTGACGAAGATATTGTCAACATATCTGGCATAAATGTTTGTTTTTAATTCCGGATTATCTCTCAAGATGTCCTAAAAAGAAATTTGCGAACAGGACACCGTGTGGTGAGCCCATGGTTACACCGTCAATTTGCTTGTATTGCTTGCCTGTAGGTGTGTGGAATGGTGCTTCGGTGGTACAGATTTGAAGAAGAGATTTGAGATGTATTTTTGGTATTTTTAGGGAGATTTTTAGGATATCAATAGATTGATAAATTCCCGTGAGGACTAGAGATTATAGTTATTAGGAGTGTACGGGGTCAGAATTTTGTTTAGATATTTGGCAATAGGGTATGTTACTGTTGGAATTTGGCTGATGATAGGACGAAGAGGGTTGTTATTTTTGTGTGTTTTTATGTTGCCACAGAGCCTCGTCTAAGAAATTTTCACTAGGTGACAAAGTTTTGGAAATGATAATTATAGTATCAATTCTTTTCAAATCACGGGTGCCTAATAGATATTGCATCAACTTTCTAATGAAAATGAAGTTTTTTTCATGGAAGAATACAATTCATCAATCTTGCGGTAAAAACATAGATTACAAGCCTAAGGAATAAGCTAATTTGAACCAGGAATGGGCTAATGACAAAACGTCTAATTTAAATTGTCAATAAAAAATTGTTCATGATTTTGTTTATGTAAATGTTGATGCGTTAAAAATGCACATACACTCTTTTGTCAATTTGAAATAAATGACATTTTTTTTTATTAACGACACAGTATCACAAAAAAAACAATTGATGTTAAATTAGCTAATCACAAGTTATTTTCAGTGTTAAAAAACTTTTTTACAAATTCCCAGTTTCGGTAAAGTTCATCATCTGGTAGAGTCGATCGTCTCGTTTTTGAAGAAAGAAAATCAGCCACCGCTGGCCGAGGATCAAAATTTGCGGTACCTATAGCATTTAAAGCAATGCATAATCGGTCATTCACAGTATTTCTCGACATAGATGATCGAAGGTCGCTTTTTAATTCTGTATGGCATGAAATTACCCGTTCCGTGATCATGCTGTGAGGGCAAGTTATAAGAAATGTTTGAACCAGCTTGTTTAAAAGAGACGACGGTGTTGTATTTTGTAGCAATAAGTACAACTTGGCAGTATTGCTTTCATGCGGCTTAAAAGATGAAGCACTAAATGATGAATAGTAACCAACAGCATCATCTACAAATTCTGAAACATAATTATCACCAAAAATATCTGATACAATTTGCCGACCGGCTTTGATCATTGCTTCAGCATTTTCAGCATTGCAACATCTATAATTGCCTTTACTTGTAAATCCTGATCGACATCCAACCTTCTCTCAAGGAAGTTTTTTGCACATGTGATTACCTTAAGACGCATTGCTTCAAAATTTCTATTGCGTGTTGTAACATACAAGTTTTTCACATTTCTCTGAAATTGATTATCATTTGTTTCAGTTTGCAATGACTGTGTAGATGCAAGTCCACTATTATTTTGTAACTTTTTTTCATATCCCCCAGGATATGGGCTGTTTACCATCATAGAAAGACGCTGAAGTACATGGTCGCGTTTTTGCATCAAATCAGCCAAGGTAACAAACGTGCGTTGAGCTTTTTTTTGTAAATCGCAAGATATCCAAAGCAACAGCACTCATGTTTAAGTTGAATGAAGTTTGGGACCAATCCTTCAGAAAACCTCTTGCTCTTTGCTTTTCATTATTTTCACCTTGTTGTACAACTGTCTTCCTGTAAGCGCACATCATCTGATGATTAGACAGAACTGCAAGTACAACATTGGCAAGGTATTCCGTGGAAAATGTTTAGCAGTCTCACCCAAACTTGCAGCAATTTCATGCAGTTTTTCTTGTCGGTAGCTTGATCCACGAAAATAAGTAGCGACATTTTTTACATCTGTTAACCAATGACGAAACTCCGGAACCACGTTTTCAACGCTTTCAAAAGCCAGGTCAGATCTGTGAGCTATGCACCAAAATGTCAACATGTTGTGCCCTAAATACTCAGACATTTTTACCCACAACCCTCCGTGACGTCCAGTATTTGAATTTTCCCCATCTGTCGTAAGACCCACCATCTTTGCTTTAATGACATCTTCAATTTCAAGATACTGGAAACGTTTCTGCAAAGCATCGACCATCCCAATTACTCCTCTTAACTCACTGTGGCATTCGCCAAGAAAACTATCTTTCATCTCAAAATTAGTGTTGTCCATGTATCGAGCAGTAACAAACAGACTGTCAGCATTGTATTTATCAACAGATTTCTCAATTTGCAGGGCAACACAGTATGCGATTTTCAATGCTTGAATAACTCTGCTCAATTCATGCTTGGACACAAATGATAATATCTCTCTGTACCGGTCAGGATTTCTGTAATGCAATGCTGACTGGGGTGGATTAAACGCCACAAAGTTACAATCAAGACCGTGATCAATGTATTGCTTAACTTGGTTTTCTGCATGCATTTGTGCTAGTGAACGACTTGGCCAAGACCAAGCTGACAGCGTTTTGGTTACTGAATCATTGTGTACAGCAACTGTAAGGCGAATAAGAGTTGATATCAGTTCAATATTGTGTTGTTTCAAAATTTTTACCCATGGATGTTTGTTAGATTGTGCGGTTCATTGCTTTCATGCATGATCGGCCCGTTGTGCAGCACTATGAGCACCACCTTTCAAGTGATCAATAATTCTTTGAAGCTGTTGCATGCCGTCACACCGAACACCATCAGCTATTGGGACAGTACCATTTCGAGCATACTTTTTAGCTTCAGAAATGTTATCGTAGCACAGTTTGCATTTTAGACATTTACGAGAACCCAGTTTTATTGCTTTCAGTTCTGAATGGTGTTTCTGCAACCAAGCAGCATCAAGTTTGAAGCCTTTGTACCACTGTCCAAAAGGTGCAAAATCTTTGGAGATGATCTGATCATAAGGTAACGATGTATGTGTGACTTGAGAAACACATTCTGCCTGTACAGGTACTTTTGATTTTGCTGCTGAGATACTATTTGTTACTGATGTAGAGTGATCAGGTAAAGTGGTGTCATAAAAGATATTCTCAGGGTCAAATTGTTCATTCTGATTAGGGACTGTTGTTGCAATGGAATGGTTAAAAAAACTGTCTATTTTTCTTTGTTTTTTAGGATAATGAGAGCTTGATTTTGCTATGTCATTCTGTGCAGTAGTTGCTGACATTTTTAACGTAAACCTTCCTGCAAAAAATAATTTAACGAAACATTTAATTAATTAAAAACTGTCTATTTTAAAATCATAAATATTAAAACAACATTTGAATATTTAAAGTTTCGTTTTCAATTTGCCTTGCAATTTTTTTAAATATTGAATCAAATATATATAAATAGTATATAATATTGAATAAATTATTATATTTATTATTAATATATTATTATTCAATTATATAAATATTGAATCAAAGATTCAATAAAACAATTTCAAAATTGTTAAATCACTTAAATCCAAAAAAAAACAAATTCTATACCACTACTACCTTATAACTAAACATTTAACCGTATTATCTATATACATTTCAAATTATAAATTTATGTGCCTTTGAATTTTGAACCGTTTTTTACGTTTGGTTTCGTTTACGTTACGCGCACGTGTGATTAGTCATTAGTGACGTTACCCGGCGAAATTATGAGAAATACTTTCAAATTTGTAAAAAAATGCTACCAAAATATAATTTATTTAACATAATATTTATTTAACAAAAGAAAAAAGACTTCTCTATTCTTCAAATTTGAACCATTGCTGTTGTAATTATTTTAATCAGAAAATTTTATTAATTTTTAAATAGTACTCCGTCGTCTCGTCAAGGAAAGCAACCAAAGATATTATATATATAAGGATTGAAAAAACATACATCGAATTAATTGACGTTGGTTGATACATCAGATTTCTATGCTTATATATAAATGTATGAGGCCAGCTTTTATAATTTTGAAAATCAATTTTCTCGTAATTAAATTGTAATACAAAATTGCTGTCACCCAGTGGCACGAAATCAACATTACTGGGTGACAAAAAATCAACGCTGTTTTTTTTGTCAATTTTTGTCACCCAGTTACAATGTTACACGAGGCCCTGAAAGTGTTGTAACAGCTATCTATAAAAAGGGTGATAAAAAGATGCAAGAAATTATAGACCAGTGGCATTGACCAGTGTTATTTGTAAACTGATGGAATCGGTTATTAAGGATAATTTGATGTTGTATTTAACTGATAATGATTTGATTGACCCTAGACAATAAGGTTTTGTAAAAGGTAAATCAACGGTAATGCAACTCTTGATGATGGCTACAGGATTGATGTTGTGTACACGGATTTTGAGAAGGCTTTTGATAGAATGTCACATGGTATTTTAGTTGAAAAAATGAAAGAGTACAGATTGAATAATAGATTGATTACTTGGGTAAACAGCTATTTAAGTGGAAGAACATTCAGAGTGAGATTGAATGATAAAATGTCTAGATATTGTACAGTGTTAAGTGGGGTTCCTCAAGAGAGTGTGCTGGGTCATATATTATTTCTTTAATATGTTAATGATTTATTTAATTTGTATAAAGATGCAAAAGGTCCAGCAATGTCTATGTATGCAGATGATGCAAAATTGAACAGAATTGTTAGTTCAGATAATGATATTGATAGAATGGTATTACAAAATGGGTTAAATGACTTGACTAGTTGGTGTGCAAAGAGTAATGTAAAATTAAATGAAAAAAAATGTGTGGTAATGAAATATCAAATCAAATCAAATCACTTTTATTCAATCAAACAAAACAAAAGCATGAATGATTCGGAGACCAAAAAAAGAAAATTAATTCTTGTGGGCTCGGCCACCGTGCAGCTCAAAATTGCTTCTCAATGATAAAATAAAATTGTCAATAGGAGAAAATGTATCAATGTTAATGAAATATGTACACAAATATGGGTATAACATACCTGAAAATAATTTTCAATATAAAATTGGTCATCATACATTGAATAATGTCGATAGTATTAAAGACTTAGGTGTAATATTTGATAATTCTTTAAAATTTGTTGATCATATTCATAGCAATGTTAAAAAAGCTTATTCTTTGTTAGGTTAAATAATTAGAAATTTTAAAGGTGTTAGTGATCATATTTTTATAATGCTTTATAAATCATTAGTCAGATCTCAACTAGAGTATGCAGCTTGTGTTTGGTCTCCGTGGGCAGTACGGGAAACAGAGGTGATAGAAAGGGTCCAGAAAAGAGCAACAAAGTCGATCAAGGCCTGCAAACATATGAAATATGAAGATCGTCTAAAATTTTTGAGCTTGCCAACTCTGAAATACGGACTCATTAGAGGGGATCTCACCATGATGTATAACTTGTTTAGAGCTAAAGATCAACTTGACCTTCCAGTAATGATGAAAGCTGGGGGGACACGAAATGAAATTGACTGCTCTTGCATTCCATAAGAACTTGAGGAAACAATACTTTATCAATAGATCAATTTGTATCTGGAACAATCTGGGTGTCGATGTTGTGAATGCTGATAATGTGAATGATTTAAAAAAAAAGTTGGATACTTATCTTATGAATGCCAGATTTATGTATGATTGGAGGGCAAATGATACTTGATGTGACATTGGCTATTTGTGAGATTGGGATATATTCAGTTTTTTTTATCAGTATGTATTGATATTATCGTCAATTTATTGATTAGGATATGTGATTAATTTATTTATTTATATTTGTTTTTTTTATTATTATCTTTTTTTTATTTTACAAGGTTTAATAAATTATTTGACTTATAAGAACATTAATTATTTTAAATTTATTCAGCATAGACTCATAGGTTTATTTAATTTATTGTTTTAAAATTGTCTTAGTTTTGAGAAGGCACAGGGACGTTTCGTCTTCGCCTTTGTTTAACGTAATAATAATTAAACATATACTTCCTTCTTTATTTTGGTTTTATTAATAAGTAATTTTGTTTCTAACATTTTGCATTCTTTTCTGCTTATTAACAAACGTACTGTAACAGGTTCTTTACGGCTTCTATCAAAAGACTTGAAATTTGATGTGTAGAAACAGAAAATAAGCTTTATTGATATTCAAATAAATCGAAATAGAATACAAATTAACAAAATATTGTTCAATTATTAAGTTAATGTGTGTGTTGTCGTTTGGGGTGACAAACGTGCTTTATTACTACGGTATAGACTGTCACGTTGTTGTGCGAGTGTTGTTGTTGGAATAACTGACGCCACGACGTTGCTGGATAAGGGTTGTTGTAGTTGTGGTGGATGTTACCCTGACGCTGTTGGGTTGGAGTTGTTGTTGAAATAACTGAAACTACGACACTATTGTGTTGGAGCTGTTGTTGAAATAACTGGTTGTTGTAGTTGTTGTAGTTGTGGTGGTTGTTACCACGACGCTGTTGTGTTGGAGTTGTTGTTGAAATAACTGACACCACGACACTGTTGTGTTGGAGCTGTTGTTGACTCCGCTACTGCTACCTGCCACCAATTACCATTATTATTCCTATTAACGACGTTCCAGTTAGAATTTTGACTGACAACGTCCTACCGCCAAACCTACTACCAAACGTTTTAATTCCAAATTAAAACAATAATTACTAAAATGCAAAGTTCCACCGTCTATTATCAACCAAGAGTTAAACTACGCCGTTCAGACCCAATAATTCTCCTATTCCCGCCTTTTTATATTTTTTTTTTTGCCATGCGGCAACCCAGTTAAGATTAAATCATGAGGCGCCGCATGCTAACCTCAACCTGTGACATACCTCTCACCACACTTTGAATATTCTTTGGGGGTGAAAGAATATTCACTCCTGAATACATTACCTCTTCATCTCCAGCGATCTGTCAGCTAAACGTGTAAGGAAATCTGCCACGTTTTTGCTACCCGCTCAATATTTGATCTGTATATTGAATTCTTGTAGTGCCAAACTCCACCTCATCAATTTAGAACTTTTTGGCACCACATCTGTCAAGTAGGTTAGGGGGTTATGGTCTGTATATATGTGAATCTTTGACATGCAAATCCACCCCCTAAATTTTTGTAAGGCCCATATTATGGCATAGGCCTCCTTCTCGATTGTAGCCCAGCGCTGTTGTGTCTCAGATAACTTCTTACTGGCGAAAGTAATGGGTCGTTCATTCCCTCGTTCATCGGGTTGTGCCAAGCAGCATGCCACCGTATGATTGCTAGCATCGGTGATTAAACAAAAGGGTTGTGTATAATCAATCGTATATAGACCTCCCACCTCCTGTAGCTGTTGTATTGCCATATCCAAGCTTCTTTGATGAACCTCCAACCAATGTATCCTATTACCACCTTTCCCCTTGGTCAACCCGGTGATACTATATAGCGTCCCAGCAAGGTTGGGGATGAAATTTTGGAAGTAGTTGAAGAAACCCACGATTACTTCTTG